CCCAGCCCCTGCCCCTCGTCCTGCTCCCGCCCCTCCTCCTGCGTGTCCCTCGTCTGCCGCCCCGTGTGCAGGCCCGCCTGCTGCGTGCCCGCCTCCTCCTGCTGTGCCCCCGCCGCCTCCTGCCAGCCCAGCCGCTGCCGCCCGGCCTCCTGCGTGTCCCTGCTCTGCCGCCCCGCGTGCTCCCGCGTGGCCTGCTGCGTCCCTGCCTCGGCCCAGAAGTCCTGCTGCTGACCGGGCAGGTTCCCCGTGGCCAGCAGGCTCCAGATCCCTCGGCAGAGAGGCTGTGCTCAGAGATACTGGCTCTGAGCCTCCTCTTGGCGTTTCAAGCCTCAGAAAGGCACCCACAGCCGTCTGTTCTGGTTCACCAGGAAGGAAAGGGACTCCCTTGTCCTCCAGGGTCTTCCTAGCTGTCTCCCCACGGCCATCCCAGACTGTCACGCAGGCCCACGTCGCCGCGTTGGGTCACTGCTCCCGTCCAGTCCCCGCACCCTGTCGGTACTGTCGGAGGCCCTGGCCTCCTGGCCTGACGCGGCCCCTTCTTCAGTCCACATACGCCATACGTTTCTTTCCTGCCCCCAGTGCGACGTGGCCAGGGCCATGGAGAGAGGCTCACTTGGGTCCCCGGGACCTTCCTTGGGAAAAAGGAAGCAGAAAGCGCCTGCGTGTGGAGCCTGGCATGACGCTGCGGCAGTCCCCGTGCTCCTGGCTGCGGCCACCGTGCCGTCCTGGCATGCCTCCCCACATGGGCCGGGGGCAGCTGTGCGCCCGTGGACACGCATCCGGCCTGCGGAGCCCGGCGCTGCTGGAGCCCAGCCCCACCCCGCCCTGTCCCCCGTGGCCCCCGTGGCGCCTGTGGCCCTGAGGACAGAAACAGTGTGTCCTCGACTGTCCAGTGTGGCTTATCAAAGGCACACTCTGGCTGTCCCCTCAGGTGCCACTCGCATGTCCTTCAGGAGGACGTGCTGGGGGACGCGGCTGCCACACACCCTGCTGCCTCCCTTCAGTGCCCACCGCATCCAGGCCAGGCTGCTCCCAACAAGTGACCGAGCATGGCAGGGGTCCTAGGGCAGGGCCTTTTCCCACTGGACCCACGTCCCCCCTCACAGCCCCTTGGCTCGGGGGCCCCCCTCCACCTGTCCGAGGCCTGCCCAGCGCCGTGTGGCGGTCTGGGGTGCTGCCCAGCCGGCCTCCCTCCTCCTCCCTTACGCTGTGCACCACAGGAGTCGCATGGCCTCGCCTCGTTCCCACGCCCACGCCTCACTCTGTCGTGGGTGCGCCCACAATAAACCGCTGGCAAACTCCCCCTGGCATCTGTTTCTTGGACCCAGACAGACAAACGCACCGGGATTTGTATACGGAGAATGAGGGCGGGGGCGAGAAGGAAAACGCGACCCGCTGAACTCTGACCCGGCACGGGGTCAGTGCTCTCACGCGACCGCGGAAACCCGCGCCGACCGCCCGGTGTCTCTATCCTGAGAGGTTTCAGCAAAACTTTCTCCTTCGGTTGCACGTTTCTGAATTTAAAAACATAGTAATGTCTTCATCTCCTCGTCACTCGCAAGTTCCACCTTTTCTTGGATCCTGTAAAGTTCTTGGTTGTTTGTGTATAATTATAATAATTCCCCCCACAATGGCCAGGTGCTCCATCCAGGGAGAAACGGAAGGTGCCACTGCGAGGCTCGCATACTGCACATAACGTGGCCACTGTCGCTTCCAGATAGACGGTGTGTAGTAAGTCGGAGACACGGACCGTGAGCCCTGAGTGTAGAGCAAAATGCACCGAGACCCGAAGGCCCGAGGCTAATACGCCAGCAAAGGGTTCGTGTGGGGGAGGGGCGGGGAGCGTGTGGACGGAGGGGACACAGAGGCCAAGGACGATGATCTCGCTGGACAGAAACCGTCTAAATACCCCAATTAAGAGACAGAGACTAGCGGAAAGAGTAAAAAAAAAAAAAGACCCAACTTTATGTTACATGTAAGACGTGAACCTTAAATATAAGACGAAAATCGGTTAAAAATTAAAAGTCACAGAAAGATCTATCCTGCTGACATTAGTCGCAAGAAAGCTGAAGCGGTTAGGGTAACGTCATAAAAAATACACCCGATCGAAGAATCTTGCCAGAGAAACAGGCTCCCCAGGGGTCCCGCACAACGGCGAACGCGTCGGCCGGCCCTAAATGCTGGTGCCCCGATCGTGGGCCCTCGACACGCGTGACGCAGACACTGACTCAGCCGCACCGAGGGGGAGATGCATTCGCACGCAGTTGGAGACTTCTGAGGTCCCCTCTCCACACTTGACAGAACAGGGAGGCGATCGGGAAGGAGGGAGGCCGTTCAGACAAGACGATCCACCCGTTTCAAATATTCGGCCTTTAAAGAGCGCCTCCCCCCAAGACGACAGCCACGCTTTCTAAACGAATGAGAAACATGTCCCACGGCGGGCCGCGCTTGACAACACGGACCGTTATTTGGGGCCATAAAGCAAGTCTCGGTGAGCTTCAGAAAATCTAAATCGGAAAGATCGGAAAGGCCCAAACATGGAGAAAGGCAGCCGGCTCCTAACTGCCCGCGGGTCCGAGCAGAATGGAAGGACAGTGGAAAAGATTCAGAACTGCACGGAAGTCGAGCGCTTGTCCAATTCTGTGGGAAGCTGCTCACGCGTCACCGAAGGGGGTTTTATCACGCCGAACGTCCTTGTCAGGAAGGAAGAAAGTTCTAGAATAAATGACCTCAGCTTCCATCATAAGAAACTGAGCCGAAAATTAAACTCAGAGAAGAGAGGCGACGGCCAAGACCAGGGTGGAGAGTGAGAGACGGGAACAGAAAGAAAAAAGAAGAGAATCCAAAACCGTTTCCTCGACAACAATAAAGTTGATAAACCTTCAGCCAGACCGGCCAGCGACACGACGGAGGAGGCACCAATCCCAACGTCGTGTGACATCACCGGAGCGCCCACAGACATCGAGGGTTAACGAGGGGACACTGTGACGCACTCCGTGGCTGCGCATTTGACGGTCTAGTGAAACGGACAAATTCTGTGACAGACACAAAACACCGAGGCTCCCTCCAGAAGACTCAGGTGACACAACCCTGTGTCCCCTGAAGAAACTGAACGTGTGTTCAAAAGCCTTCCCGCAGCCCAGCTGTCCCCCGACAGGCGAATGGTCATGTGACGGCGACATCCACACGACAGACTGTCACCTGCCGTAGAAAGGACCAAATTGTGACATCACAGCAGCTTGAATGGATTGTGCTGAGTGAAAAAGTCTCTCGGAAAAAGTGACGCAGTGTCCGATTCTATTTATAGACATTCTCGTGCAATAAGGGTGGAGAACACATATGTGGTTGCCAGGGGTTACCGAGGAGCGTCCGCGGCGGCAGCATGAGAGGGAGGACGAGGGAGCCTGGGGGTGGTGGCACAGTTCTGTGTCCGGCGTGGTTGTGGTTATACAATCTACAAATGTGAAAATACGGCCTAGAACCACACGCACACACACACATGCACACAAACACATGCACAAGCACACACACACACACAAGTAGACATACACGCACATGCACACATGCAAGCATATACACACGCACACGTACACATGCACACATGTACACATGCACACACGTGCACAAGCGCACATGCACATGTGTGCACCTATGCATGCATGTGCACATACACACAAACACACACGATGCACACATGTGCACACACGAGGACACATGCACAGGCACACCTGCACACACAAGTGCACGCACGCACACACACATGCACACACGCACACGCATGCACACACGTGCACGCACACGTGCACACACACGTGCACACACATGCATGGGTACATGTAACCCTGACGACATCCGAGTAGGATCTGTGGATCGTCAGCCTCCGGGCTGTGATTTGTGCGGAGGGTAAACCAGCTGCTATCGCTGAGGGAACTGGGTAAAGGCACACGGGACCCCAGGCCCCTGCCCCGCGTGGGCACCGTGCGTGTATGAGCAGAGGTGAGAAGGACGCTGCCCCTTCCTGACTCCCAGAACTGCCCGTCTGTGCCCTGGGACCCTCCACCCGCACGGCGCCCAGGCGTGTGCGCAGATGAAAAACAAAGCAGAATCGTGTGAGTCAGGGCGCCGAGTGCGGAGGGTCTCGCCGCGCAGGCCCTCTGCTCCCGCCCAGCTTGTGGCCTCGCCCGCGAAGGGACAGGCCGTCCCCAGGCCCCTCCCCAGGAGCCGCAGGGCCGGGGCTGCACCTGTCTCCAGCGTGACTCAGGCGACCTGGCCCAACGGCAAGCAGCCACACTGGTGACCACCACAGCCATCACCCGAGAAAACACACCACGCATGTCCCCAGCCCATCAGGACCTGCAGGAGGAACAGCGTGGCCCTGCCACCAGCCTCCCCAAGGGCCAAACACCAGTCAGGGGCTCATCGAGGTCCCTGCAGGAAACTGAGTCATCTAATGAGGCTTCCGGGCCCTGCAGTGACACCACCAAGGAAGGGGACACGCGAGGCTCCTGTGGGGACAACAGACGCCAGGGCTGGATATAAAAGCCCTGGAGTCCCAGAGTGTCTCACACACCCACTCACTCACACACTCACTCACAACACACACCCTTCTCGCTGCTCACCCCCAGCCCCACGACCCGCCATGGCCGCCTCCACCCTGTCCGTCTGCTCCAGCGACCTCAGCTATGCCGGCCGCGTCTGCCTGCCCGGTGCCTGCGACTCCTGCACTGACGACTCCTGGCAGGTGGACGAGTGCCCAGAGAGCTGCTGCGAGCCCTCCTGCTGTGCCCCGTCTTGCTGTGCCCCCTCCTGCTGCCAGCCTACCTCCTGTGTCCCTAGCTGCTGCTGCCAGCCCCTCCGCCTCA